ATAGGGAGGAACTCATCAAGAAATTGTCACTTTTTCATGTTTTTGATATCATTTGATAGAGAATCAAAAGCTCTACAACATATCAAAAAATCAGAATTTTTGACCGTTGATAAAAAAGTTATAATATAAATACTCGATGGCATACTGAATATCTCAAAAATATCGAAAAAAAGAACATTTTTTGCAAAAAGTATACCTTTTTCAAAATCAATTTTAACCCATAAGATTTAACTTTAAAAATATAAAATTTATATTGATCGATAGAGAATAAACTGAACTTTCAGAATCTTTTTAAATTTTGAAAATCGGATCAGAATTGATCGAGAAATAGCATGTCGCAAAAAAGTGTCGCCGAAAATTCAAACATGTTTGAATCAAAAAAAGTGTCGCCGGCGACAAGTCGCCGGCGGAAATCGCATTTTATGTAACCACTAGAAAAAGCGACAAAATCGCGCGCGACATGTCGCCGGCGGAAGTCGCGGTTTATGTAACCACTCAAAAAAGCGACAAAGTCGCGCGCGACAAGACGCCGGCGGAAGTCGCTTTTTATGTAACCACTAGAAAAAAGCGACAAAATCGCGCGCGATTTTTCTCTCCTCTTTTTACATTATCTTTTCTGTCGCGTGTCGCGCGCGATTTTTATGTAACCGTAGCATAAGGGGATAGAGATTTTAGAAAACATAGCCAACCCGGAGTTATGGTTTTCTGAAATACATACCGGGTACTTATCTTAATAGAGCTGGGTATTTATCCTCATTAGTCCCTCTAAATCCCCCGATATCCGAAAATTTGTAGGTCTTTTAGGCGCAGGTCATTTGAGTCAATAGGTCTCTTGGCGAAGATAACTTCTGAATTTAGGTTTTTTGTGATGGATTAAATTTAAAAAAAAATAATTTTTATCCCTTTAAAGACAAGACAGCAATGTCAGCAGAAACACGTACCAACAACAATATCATTTTCGTTATTCCCCTAGTTTATGTCCTTTTAAATTTTCCTTATAATTTAAACATTACTGTTATCAACTTTTTTCATTTACACAAGTTTGATTGTTGGATACCCAATTTAACTTTTCTCAATATTTTTTACATTAATTATGCAACTAATTTTATGTTGTATACGATAACGAGGTTGGAAAATTTTTTTGGAGAATTATTTTTTATCAAAATGGGACATAATTAACACCCCCACATACCTAAATCACAATTTCTTCTGTCCCGTAAAGTGAGTTCCGATTTTTCGGAACTCACGTGAGTTCCGATCGAAAAAAATCACGATTTTTTCTGTCCCATAAAGTGAGTTTCGAGGGTAATTAAAAATTGTGGGGACTCGGAAAAGCGCGCGGCCTACAGCTAACAATAAGTAAAGCTCTAGAATATATTTTAAAGAAATAATTTTCTTAATTGGAAGAAGTGTTTGGTAAAAAGTGGAGAGCTATCCGAGAGCGGTCCGAGACCGGAAATTTTTCCAGCCCAAGACTTTACCACAAGAATTATGCTTGAAAATTAAAAAGGCTCAAGACAATTGTTCGGTACTACCAGACAAATTTTTAATTAACTTATCTCTACACAGTTGAATTTTAATTTTTAAAATTAACTATTGGGTCCATTCGTAATGAATAATTATTTTTAAAATTAAAAATCTTTTTATTTAACCTTATAAATTAAATTTATTATGTTTTCCGAGTTCGCCTTGTGTGGTCGTGCGGTCTTTGCGTGGCGGGAAAAAATTAAATTTTAGTTGATAATTAATTTTAAAAAATCTAAAATAAACTCGCTTGACTATACACCCACTAAAATCCCTCAAAAAAATTTTTTCTTTATTAAAAAAATTTTTTTTCTTTATTAAAAAAAATTTTTTTTCAGCTCCCAATATAGAGAAGTGTTTGTTCAATTGTGGTTTGTACATTTTGTAAATTTAGTTTACAATTGGTTTGTACATTTGTACAATTGTATAATACATCGACATTCCAACCCACATATTAATAATCAATTTAATAATATTAAAAATGAGGATATAAGTGTTGGGACGAAAAATTCAAAATTGACAATTGATTAAAATTATTTAATAAAATATGGAAAAATTATTATTCAAATCCTTAAAATAATTTTTAAATTTGAATGGAGAGACAGGAAAAAAAAATTTTTTTTACTCAAATTTTATAGCCGAATTTTTTACAAAGGATTATAATTTTTATAGTACATTTGAACCCCCTTATACTTTGATTACTTCATTTATATTTTATTTTAAATTCTATTAGACAATATTAAATTTTTAATTTTTGTAGTATTTTTTTATTTTACTAAACACTCTTAAATAAATTTATTTAAAGATTAAAATTTTTTAAAAATTTTTAAAAGCTTCATCTTCTTCCCGATGAGTAACCCTAGGGTCTACAAAATTTACAGAAGCAATCTCCTTCCCGACAAGTTTGACAATAAAATTGAGACTATTGACGAGAAGCTTCTTGGTCATTGATCATGATTATTAGTTATTATTTTGTTTCAAGATCATTGTTCTTCTTGATCACCCAACGAGGAGTCAAAATGATAAAAAACACACAAACTGATTTTAAAAAATTATTGAGTGCATACAAAAAAATATTTTTGGAACGTTTAAATTTATGGGAGGCCTATAAAACTCAAGCGGCTCTAACCCTAAACTAGAGCCAAAATTAAATATATAATGAAAAGAATTTTTTAAATTTATTTTTTCAACTCAATCCAAAATTTAACATTTGTGCAAACAATTAAATAAAAAAAATTTTTTTTATTTAAAATAATACAAGCATTCTCTTATTTTTTTCATTGATTATAAGCGAAATTTAACCATTATAAGATAAAAAAATCGACACTTAAAATGGCCCTTTTTTTATTTAATTTTAATTTTTTTATTTTAAAAATTTTTTATTAATTTTATTTCTCGTTTTAATATTTCCTTTTCCGATAATATAGGCATCATAATGTGTCGGTCTTGTTTAAGTTCGTAATATCGGGCGCTTAATTTTGTCCCAGAAAATACTCGATTGGCCAAGTTCGATGAAAACGCCCGATTCGATAACGGCAACTTTATTCATAAATATAGCTACCGTATTTGCTAAAATAATTACCCAGGGTAATTATTTTTTCGATCTCTGGCTGTAGGGTGTAATTAATAGGGCGGAGGTAATTATTTGAAAGAGGGACATTATTTCAGCATTTACGGTATAGTTCGTCCAAAAATTGTTTTTATTTTATCAATGTTATTAAGGTCAGATTGGATTGAAATTTTTATCGGAAAATCGAAAAAGCTTTGAGAATACCTAAAGAAATTTCAACTTTTTTAAATAATTGGAAAAATATTAAAATTTTCTGCAAATGGATTTCTGAATTTTTTTACTCTTTTTTCCAATAGTCGAAAAACTACCTTTCCTCCAATCCACTTTTAATCATTAATAGGAATTTCAATTTTACATCTACTACCCTTTAAGAATTTGACTCGACTTTAAGACATCCGTCCCACGAATTTTTATTCGTCCCACGAATTTTAAGCTCCCATTAGAGCATGATAGAAAATAAAGTCTGACTTTATTTAATATTGCCTTTAATTATGAGGGAATTTTGCCGAGGTGAAGAGGAGAGTGAGTGACACGTAGAGGTCGAATGAAATTGAATAATTTTGAATAAATCCTCTTATATTTCTTTACCATTTTTAATTAATTCACGTTCACTTACACTTATTCATTAAATATTTATTGACTTTTAATTTTATTTATTAATTTTTTTTTATTTTTTTATTAATTATTAAGACATTTTTTAAAATAAATTTTTTAAAAATAATTTTTTAAAAATAGCAAAATTGTTTAAAAATATATTTTACCCCATTATTCATCTAAAAATGATTAATAAATATTTTTAAAGAAAAAATCAAGCCTTGGAAAAAAGACATTATTTTAAATTTATATTTATTAAATACCTATTAAAATTAAATTAAATCTCATGGCATTTATTCCAACAAAAATACGATATTCGTCTTTGACTTCAATTAATTATGTGGGTGTTAATTAATTCATACAAAAATCTTTTTTTCAATTAAAGACTTATTAAATCACCTTCATTTTTAAAAGGACCCCTAGATTTAGACACACCTTTATTTAACAAACTTCGTTTATTATTTATTTAAACCAGAGGTGGGTCGGAATTCCGATTTCCGAAAAAAATTTGATTTCCGAGTTCCGACCTTTAAGCCAGTTTCGCTTTCCGGCTCTTCCATTTCCGACACCTCTGACTGTTCCGATCCACCTCTATTAGACTGAGGTCGAAGAATAAAAATTATATTTGAGGATTATTAAGCCTCTACCTTAAGGTTAAATTTGTTGAAAGGGCCTGAGTGTGGGAGAGCTGTCTACACAATTGCCTATGCATCTCTGTATAGGTGACTAATAGGGAAAAGTGACTGCTACCCAAAAATCCCGGAACTTCCGGCGAAGCTCTAGTGTGACCTAAGCAATACCTCCAATTTAAGGAGTATCGTTATGAGAAGAAGAGGAGTATATCAGAGGGGGTATCGCTATTAAAGAATAAATACATTCAATTTTTCAACCCTAATAAGTTATCTAAGAATTAAAAACTTCGTTTTATTTTCATCAAAAAATTCCAAATCCCCATTTTAAATAATAATTCATAGTTAACTCATCACAAACGTCGTTGTGCCTATTTATTGTGCTTTGCAGTTGTAATTATTTTGTGTTATTTGTTTTTAATATCTCAGGATTTTCGTATTGGAAAAGCTTTAAAAGAAGATAATTTTGATGTTATTTTTAAAGAGGAACAGGAAAAAGAAGAAGCTCTTGATCAAATTAACAAAAAAATTTGGGAAGCATTTGAAACTGAACAAAATGCAACTTGGGTAATTTAAAAAAAATTGAGGGGATTTCTAAATAAAAATAATTATATTTTCAGAATAATTAAATATTTATGAGATAAATGTAGGTGTTTTCCCTCGAAAAAGCCCTCGAAAAGCTATGCCTTTTATGATATCTTTTATGATGCCCCCTATATTTTCCTTCTATGATGCCTCTCTCTCCCTCTATTGATGTATCGGGCGGACCTCTAAGGTGTTTTTCTCCCTTTATCCCAGGTTCATCCCTTAATCTTTCTCATTTATATACTCGATACCTAAATTTGTTGAGGACAGGGTTAGGAAATTATTTTGGATATCCGAACAGGACGGGAGAACGGCTTTTTTGCTTCTACTCCCGGCCTTGTGTTTTTGGGATTTTTGAAAGACACCAAAAATTAGAAGTATGCTGAGAGGCTCCAATCTTTTACTATATTTCTTTAAGAATGAAAAAAAAAATTTTTGTTTTTTTCCCAATGATGCTAGATCCAAGATCCTACCTTGATAATAAACCCACTTGAATTTAAATCAACACTAAAAATTAACAAAAAAATTTTTCAGAACAGATTTAATTGTGAGCGTATAGTCCATGGGGACAAAGACTATTTATATAATTTACAAAATAAAATCATAACTTATAAAGACAATCCAAATTTGTCTTTAAAATGTGAAGATATCTTTAAGAGGAATCATTTTTTGAATATAACACGATCTGAGGAAGAAAAAAAAGTTCCGTTGGCATTTGCTCGAATAGTTAATCAAGTAGCTCTAATTTAATCGAAAAATAAATTTGATTAAATTAATTTAAAGGATTATCGGTTTTTGGAGGCAGAATTAGCTACTAATTATCACCCCCAAAATTGGTATTGTTTTGCTGTTGATTCCAAGGCAAACGACGCTTTTTATGAAAAAATTTTGGCGTTGGCCAGTTGTTTTAAAAATATAATAATTCCGAGGAGTAGATATCCTGTAGATAGTGGAGGTGAGAAAATTTTTTCAAAAAATTTTCAAAAAAATTTCAAAAAATTTCTAAAAATAAATTTTTTTCAAGGTCACGGTATGGGAAAGGCCCATCTATCCTGTTTCAAAGAATTAATTAAAAAAGAAAGAAAATGGGAATATTTAGTAACATTACAGAATCACGACATTCAAATAAAAACTAACGAGGAAATGGTTCAAATATTTAAATGGATTGGTGGGGCTTGTGATGCCGAATATAATTTTCATAGTAAAGTAGAAAGGGATAGATTAGACGGTCTCAATAAAAAATTTAATTGGACGTTTGAATCCCTAAAAATTTTTAAAGATGGTAAGAAAAGTGATTAAATCGTGCCCTATTTTTAGATACACCCTATTAGTTCCAGAGGTCTTCCAGGTTTGAGATAAGAATAAGTGTTGCCCAAATTAGAATGTATCGATGTAGACGAATTGGATTTGATTGGATAATGCGAAGGAAATCTGGAGCTATCAGAACTAGTAGGGACTAACTAGACTGACACTTGTTTCTATACTAAGGTTGGGGTTTTCGAGTCAGGCTGACTTTGAGTCATTTTTATCGGGCCTCCCGACCAATCTTTTTCGGACCAAAATTCGATGCCCGACAGGATCTTTCGGACCGGGCCCCCAACTCTATTCTATACAATCATAATCTGACTCCTTGTATTTTACGCAATACACATTTAGGGCTGAAAATGAGGGGAACTTAATTCTGGATGAGAGGTGGTGGGGGCGGAAGGTGTTGTATCTAAAAATGAGGCTCGAATATTTTTAAATCCTTATCAATTTTATTAAAATCCTTTATTAAAAGCATCACTAAACAAACGCTTTAATGAACAAGGATTACCTCTTAAATTGTCATTGGCAAGTGGCAACATTCAAGCAAGTCTGGCACGACCTTTTGTGGAGTTTGTAGTTAATAAACTTGATTTAACCAAAATGCTTGAGCAGCTGGACAATTGGTTATAAAAATTATTTTTTAATCGGAAAAAATTTTCAATTTAAGGGAATATGCGGGGGATGAATTTTTTATTCAGACACTTTTGGCTTCAGACGATCTAAAAGCACCAAATGCCTTTACACATAAATGCATTGATCAAAAAATTAGTGTGCCGTATGTAACTAGGTACTAGATAAATAATATTTTGCGATAATATGTTTGATATAATTGTTACTAAACCTTGTCACTGTAAGGAAGAGAAAGATCCAGCTTGTTAGCATTTAAAACGCTCACTGGACGGGGATTTAAGATCTATTAAAAGAGAATGTGAAGGCAGCGTCCCGGTAGCTCAGTTGGTAGAGAACCTGTATGTGGTGAGCGAAAGCGCCTAGCGAAAGCGCCTACTTTAGCCAATATGTTTGCCTGCAAATGTTGATGAGTCTCATTAATCTCATAAGGAGCTAAGATATCTTATTGAAATCAAGATTTTTCGAGATATCGATTCTCCCGTCAGGTCCCTAGAAGGGGCTAAAAATCTAAATATTATTTGTATAATTGAAGCTAAATTTTCCTTATTAAAGATACAACATTTGGGAATTTGAGCACAAAGACAAATGTTATAGTAAAAATTTTCGTCATTATAGTTGTGTATTTGGAATAGATGATTTGGTAAATTTGAAAAAAAATTTTTTTTTGAAACTTTTGAAAATTTTAAATAATTTAGTGGCACAATTTCCACAACTCAAAATATTTATTTGTCAATAAAATGATGCCACAATCCGATTTTGGAGCGATTATTTGTTGGCATGAAGAGATGAGGAGGAGGAATATTTTAGAAAACCGAGTAAAAAAATTAAATTTAACGATATATCGAAATTGGCCTCAGGCGAGTTTTTTTTGAAAAAAATGTTTCAAATTAAATCTCGAAATTTTTTCAGACCCGTTTTCATCAGGAATTGAGGCGAAATTCAGGCAAAGTAGACATTGACAAATTTAATTGTACATAATTCGACCCAAAAAATTTTTTATATAATTACTGTATTTCTCTATTAAACCCCTTTTTTTGAATTTGAGGCCCTTTATAATAAAGACTCTCCCCATTTTGTGGGGGGGGGAGGACTGTTGAAGAATCCCCAAAATTTTCTTATTTAAATACAGTATTTTCTGTATTAAATCCCCCTTTTTTCTGAATTTAAGGCCCTCTCTCTAATAAAGACTTCTCCCTTATTTGGTGAAGGACAGTTGAAGGAATGACCACCCATTTAAATAGAGCACCCCCTCTTTTTCCAGGGCCCCTTTGGAATATGATTGAGGGGGAGCCTCTCACTAATAATGACTCCTTCCTCATTTGGGAGAAAACAGTAGAAGAATCAGTACCCCTTTTAATTAGAGCACCATCCCTTTTTTCAATAAAACAGCATCCCTTTGGTTGTATAATTAAAAAATAGAGCCCCATGGGGGGATCTTCTATAGAAAATACAGTACTTCACTTATTGCATTAAAATTTGTTTTTACATATATCCTCTTTTTTATTTCCCCAGATAATTTAAAGAGAATTTATTAAATTTAATTTTTAATTTTCCCCCTTCAAAAATATTTTATTTTTATTTCCACCCTATGTGCGAGAGTTGAGGGAATCGAAAATATTTTTTTATTCCCATTAAAGTTGAAAAAAATATTTGTTATTTTTTCCCTTTAAAATTCCAACACTATTGCCAACTCATTTTAAAAAACGTCTATATATTTTATGAAGATGTTGACTATTTTTGTGTTTGAATTCTAAAATATTATTTGTTAATTTATCATTTTAACCATTCTATTGATTTTAAATCTGATTGATATTTCGATATAATTCTGAAAAATTTTTTTAAAAACTTCCTAGTCCTCCAGTAAATTCTGAAAAATCCCATTGTCTCCTTTAAAATTTTTCTTTTTAAATTATTTTTATTGACGTCATATTTTTTTGTACCTCTATAGTAGTGATGTTCGGGAAAAGAAAAAACTCGGGAAACGGGAGTCGGGTCGGGAAATGCCCTCAGGATGCAAAAACTCAGGAAATTTTCCCGAGTCGGGATCGGGATACCCGAACATCACTACTCTGTAGCAGGCCTTTTCGCCTTTCGTCTTTCGCTTTTTAAAATCATTTTCGGCACACCTCTGCTCTGTAGGTGTATAATTTATTGTACCGTGTAATTTATTGCATAAATATATTTTTATTTATTTAAAAATTAATTTTATGACCTCTACCCAACCCGATTTCAGAACTCGTGAATTCCCCACGTCTTGTGGGTCGTGAATCCCGGACCCCAAAAATCGTAAAACTTTTTTTCTGCAGCTAGACACCTTAATTAGAACCAGCTCTTAATCTTTTAACCATCTCAATTTTATCAAAACTCAAAATCCTTCCGATATCCAATTTAATTTTACTTTAGAAATGCGACGTATGCGGATAAACAATCTCTTCATTGTCACGGCAGCATTATTTGTAATTATAATGCTTTATTTAGTTACACCCCCAAAAGTATTATTTGAAAGATCAAGTCTTCCAATTTCACCTTTAGAAGAACTAATTCCTCTTATGCCTACTTCAATACCTGAGAAAGTCCATGTTCACGTCAAGAATGAAGGGAGGGAAGATAAAAAGAATGGAGGGAAGGAGGATAAGAAGAAGGAGGGGAAGGAGGATAAGAAGGATGGAGGGAAGGACCATGACCATAAAAAAGATGTCCAAATAAAAAAAGTTGTTGATCCGGTTAAATTTAAGAAGGAAAAAGAGCCGTTAGCTAAAATTCAGGAGGTGGGAGAAACTACCGTAGTATTCCCACCAGCTAAATTAAAATATGAAATTAAGGAAATTGCTAAATCTGATAAAGAATTTAATCCAGATTTGGATGAAATTAATAAAAAAATTTGGAATTCGATTAAGAATGAAATTAGACACTCAAAGGTTGGTCGGTACTTAAATCTAGGTTATCTCGAGATATCAATCTCGGCCCACGAACACTTCTAAATCTCTCGAAAAAAATTTAAAAAATTAATGAATCTCTCTACCATAGTTCAGACTAGAGGTCGGCAAAATCGTGTTTGCGGGACCCCGCATGCGGGATTTTTTTTAAAAATCTTTGCGGGACGGGATCCCGCGGGAAAAACCCCGCAAAATCCCGCATCCCGCAAAATCCCGCAAATCGAAAAAAGTGCGGGATTGCGGGAGCGGGACCCCGCAAAATCCCGCGCGGGATCCCGTCCCGCGCCGACCTCTAGTTCAGACTACCATAGTTCAGAATTTCTAATGAAGGAAATAGGTTAAAATCAGAAGCTCATTCATTTTAAAGAAATTACAAATTAAATTTAAAAAAATTTAGGAACGTATAGACTGTAAAAGAATAATTAAAGGAGATGAGGATTATGTAAAACTCGAAGCAAAATCTAGATTAACATACACAGAACCAAGAAATTTATTTGTGGATTGTAAATCTATCAAAGAAAGAAATTATTTTTTGGAAAAGCCTTTATCCACTGAAGAAGGGAAATATCCATTGGCTTATGTCAGAATTGTTTATAAAGTTTCAATGGTGAACTTAAATTAAATTTAATTTTAATTTAAAGGATTACCGGATTCTGGAAGCAGAATTAGCTACTAATTATCGTCCCCAAAATTGGTATTGTTTTGCCATTGATTCGAAAGCCAGGGAACTTTTTGGTAAAAGAGTGCGCTCCTTGGCTAAGTGTTTCAAAAACATTATAATTCCCAATATAAGGTATCCGGTGGATAGAGACGGTCAGTTTGCTTATTTTCTAATTTATATACTCAATTAAAGCAGAAAAATTTTTACATAAAATGAAGATTTGGCTGTAGTGTAGTGTACCGGTGGTAAAAGTTCGGGACGTGACATATGTCATTCGATTCGTCTCGGCGAGCTGAGTCGAACGGTACCACTCCCTATTTTAGGAAATGATTCTGGACCGAGTTATAGGTCCCTGAAAATCGAAAAACCAAAGGGGGGACCAAGCACTTTTTTGGGGTGAAAAATTCGAAAATGCAAATTATATCTCATTCGAAAGAGCTCGTCGAGCTGAGTCGAATGACACCAAAATCAACAAAATCCGACTTGATTTGACAAAGTTAAGACCGTTTGTTTTAGCTCCTTACCATGGCATCTGTGGAGATTTTTGCTGCTACGGAGGCCCCAAATACGTCCAGAGCAAGGGAGATAGGAATAGGTTTATGTTACGAGCCCAGACCCAGCGCCCGTAGACTCCCCGCGAGGCGCGTGCCGCAAAACCCCGCGCGAAGCGCGGGGTTTTGCACAAGCGCCTCGCCGACGCTCCATAGGTTTATGTTGGTAGTTTTTCTATCGTAACTTTGTCAAAACTTGTGCAATCAAGTTGGTTTTGGTGTCATTCGACTCAGCTCGACGAGCTCTCTCGAATGAGCTAACATTTGTATATTCGAAATTTTCACCCCAAAAAAGTGCTTGGTCCCCCCTTTGGTTTTTCGATTTTCAGGGACCTATAACTCAGTCCAGAATCATTTCCTAAAGTAGGGAGTGGTACCTTTCGACTCAGCTCGCCGAGACGAATCGAATGACATATGGCTCGTCCCGAACTTTTACCACCGGTACACTACACTATATCCGAAGATTTATATTAGGGATGGGCCCTGCCGTATTGTAGAATGTGAGAGTAGAGTTCAGCGGAATCGGGACCGGAATCTCTTTTCCAAATACCGATCCCGATTTCGGGATCGGGATCACCATTCCAAAATCACGATCACCGTTTTTAGTCTATGTGAGAGACGGAAGTAAAAAATGGAAAACGGAAGGCAGAATCGAAAGAGCAAATAAAAGACTAAAATCGGCGGAGTTGATCACCGAAGGATAATCACTCGAAAATAAAGAACCTTTCCCTTTCAAAAACCATTCATTCATGTTTCAAACAGTTCTGAGGAAGTTCCAAAATTTTAGCGGTTCCAGTTCCACTTCTGGAACTGGTTCCAGTCCCAACCCAGTTTCAGACTTTTACCGGTTCCACGGTTAGTTCCGGAACTCCATATAATGGCCTTTATTTTCAGGCCATTACATGGCAAATGCATTTATGTCATGTTTGGAGGAATTATCTAAAAGTAAATACAAATGGGAATATGTTTTTACCCTTCAAAATGACGATATACAGATAAAAACAAATGAGGAAATTATCCAAATATTAAAATGGTTGGGTGGGGCTAATGATGTTGAATATGAATTTAGAAATCAAGACAAGCAGAATATGATTAAAAGTTTACATAATAAATTCAACTGGACTTTTAAAGATTTAAATTTATTTAAAGATGGTTGGAATTTAGAAAATAATATTTAAAAAAATTTAAATTTTAAAGAAAAATTAAATAATCAAGTTGATACAAAAGGAAAAGCTTTATCTCTAAAATTAAGTAAAGGATATGTGCAATCTAGTTTGGCACGCCCTTTTGTTGATTTTATTGTACAAAAAATTAACTTGGACAAAATTATTAGACATCTGAATTCTTGGTATGACATAACGTATAATTAAATAAATATATTTTTTAAGGAATTATGGGGCTGATGAATTATTTTTCCAAACATTAACGGCATCTGACGATTTAAAGGCACCTAATGCTTTTACTCACAAATGTCTTGATAAAAAAGTTGATGTGCCTTATATTACAAGGTTCTAAATTCCTAGGGATATCATAATAATATTTCTAAGTCCAATAATATCCCACCTGATCCCCTATTTTTGACTCCAACTCCAAAATCAGGATTATTTACTAAAAAGGAATATTAAACAATATGTAGACATGATCGAGAAGAGATCACATAAAAAGTCTAAATTTATCGAGATATCTCCACACAGGAGATAACCCACATATCTCCACACAGGAGATATCTCCACACAGGAAATATCTCGCTAGTAAAATGGAAGAGATATTGAATTTTAGATGCCATTTAATTGGAATAGATACAGTAACTTAATCTTTTAGATTTTCCGCTTGGATCTATTCATCAACCCCAAAATGTTTTAGCGGCAAGTATAACCACGGTATTTGTGTTATTGGCATTGAGGACTTGGTTAATTAAAACTTGTTAAATTTTAACATTTAATTTTTTAAGGCAAAAAATTTGCGAGATAAAAATAATTTCCTTTTTGCAAATAAAATTCGAGCTGATCTTGATTTTGGAGCCATTCTTTGTTGGCATGAGGAGATGAGAAGTAGAACTTTGGTGGATAAGGGATTGAAAAGATTGAATAGTACATACTATCAAAATTGGCCTCAGGCAATTTTTAAACTAATTAATTTATTTATTTTATAAATTTCAGACACGCTTTCACAAAGAAATGGTAAAAACAGGCAAAGTGGATATTGATAAATTTAATTGTGATATTAATAAAAACTAAGATTTTCTTTTTCACTTAAAATATTTGTTTCGAGGTGATATCTAAGAAATGATTTTTTACAATATTTTATTTATGAATATTGTTGTATTATCTTATAATTATTAATCATCACTAACAAATAAGGCCCGGATTTGTATGGACGATCAATCGTGAAATATGGACATAAAATATGGACTAAAAAAGTCAAAATATGGATTAAAATCAGATTAATCTATTAAGTACATTTCAATATTCTCTGGGGTAAGGCTCCTCCTATTATCAGATAAAATTGTCTTATGTAACGGAAAAGAACGTCATATATCGCAGTACCATTGAGCTATCGGGGCATCGACTAATGCTTTCTCTTTTTCCTTTTTTCGTTTAACCCCCGCATAAGTGTTTTAAATGCTCTAGGTGAATCATCCTTACAATGAAAATAGTTCTGAAAATGGCGACACATGGACGAAAATTGGGAAAATATGAAATATGCATAAAAAATGCCACGTGTTTTATTGTGTTGAATAACAAGGAAAGAAAGTTAACCTATTGTTAAATATTGAATAAATAAACTAATTAAAATTACAAGGAAATAAAATTAAAATGGTTATAACCACATTTTAAAAATTTTTATTTGAATAAAGAAACTATTAAAATTCCAAATTAAATTCCATCAAAATTTTTATTCAATGAAGACTTTTTTACACTGTTTTTTAATTGCCTTCTTAATATCGGCATCAATTGTAGCGATTATTTACATGATTTTTCCTACTTCTCCAATACAAGTGCTTACTCAAATTGTTAGAACTGAAATAAAGGAAGAAAACGAATCAAAAAATTTTGAAAAAATTAATGAAAAAATTTGGAATTCAATCAAAAATGAAATTGGACATGATAAAGTTGATTATGAATAAATATTTAAAGAAAGAAAATTTTTTAGGAACGTATAGACTGTAAAAGAATAATTAAGGGAGAAGAGGATTATATAAAACTCGAAGCAAAATCTAGATTAACATATAAAGATCCAGAAAATTTATTAATGGATTGTAAATCAATTAAAGAAAGAAATTATTTTTTGGAAAAACCTTTATCTACTGAAGAAGGGAAATATCCATTGGCTTATGCAAGAATTGTTTATGAAGTAGTTTAAAATATTTTTAAATTACGAAATTTTTAAAAATTATTATAAAATTAATAAAAATCATTAAAGAGTTATAGATTTTTGGAAGCAGAATTTGCCACAAATTATCAACCCCAAAATTGGTATTGTTTTGCTGTTGACTCGCAACTTGAAGATGAACATTTTTTTCAAAGAATAAAGTCATTGGCTAAGTGCTTCCCAAATGTTATTGTTCCAACAAAAAGATTTCCTGTAGATAGTGATGGTAGATTTCCCATTTATGCGATTTATTAGTATATTTAATAACGCTACGCTTACATAAAAATCGCGCGCGACACGCGACAGAATAGATTTTCAGAAAAAATTTTTATTTTCTGAAAAATAATAATAATATTTCAGGGATTTAGAATTATTCCAGAAAATATAGCTTTCATAGATTTTATTATATAGTAAAGCTGCTGGGCCATAGATAGGACTATAGCTTAGGAAATAAATAGCTATCTATATATGCTTTGCAATATTTCAGGAAATATATAATATAATATTTCCGGAAATATATAATATAATATTTCCGGAAAAATATAATATAATATTTCCGGAAATATATAATATAATATTTCCGGAAATATATAATATAATATTTCCGGAAATATATAATATAATATTTCCGGAAATATATAATATAATATTTCCGGAAATATATAATATAATATTTCCGGAAATATATAATATAATATTTCCGGAAATATATAATAAAATATTTCCGGTAATATATAATATAATATTTCCGGAAATATATAATATAATATTTCCGGAAATATATAATATAATATTTCCGGAAATATATAATATAATATTTCCGGAAATATATAATATAATATTTCCGGGAATATATAATATAATATTTCCGGTAATATATAATAAAATATTTCCGGTAATATATAATATAATATTTCCGGAAATATATAATATAATATTTCCGGAAATATATAATATAATATTTCCGGAAATATATAATATAATATTTCCGGAAAAATATAATATAATATTTCCGGAAATATATAATATAATATTTCCGGAAATATATAATAAAATATTTCCGGTAATATATAATATAATATTTCCGGAAATATATAATAAAATATTTCCGGTAATATATAATATAATATTTCCGGAAATATATAATATAATATTTCCGAAAATATATAATATAATATTTCCGGAAATATATAATATAATATTTCCGGAAATATATAATATAATATTTCCGGAAATATATAATATAATATTTCCGGAAATATATAATAAAATATTTCCGGTAATATATAATATAATATTTCCGGAAATATATAATATAATATTTCCGGAAATATATAATATAATATTTCCGGAAATATATAATATAATATTTCCGGAAATATATAATATAATATTTCCGGAAATATATAATATAATATTTCCGGAAATATATAATATAATATTTCCGGAAATATATAATATAATATTTCCGGAAATATATAATATAATATTTCCGGAAATATATAATAAAATATTTCCGGTAATATATAATATAATATTTCCGGAAATATATAATATAATATTTCCGGAAATATATAATATAATATTTCCGGAAATATATAATATAATATTTCCGGAAATATATAATATAATATTTCCGGAAATATATAATAAAATATTTCCGGTAATATATAATATAATATTTCCGGAAATATATAATATAATATTTCCGGAAATATATAATATAATATTTCCGGAAATATATAATATAATATTTCCGGAAATATATAATATAATATTTCCGGGAATATATAATATAATATTTCCGGTAATATATAATAAAATATTTCCGGTAATATATAATATAATATTTCCGGAAATATATAATATAATATTTCCGGAAATATATAATATAATATTTCCGGAAATATATAATATAATATTTCCGGAAAAATATAATATAATATTTCCGGAAATATATAATATAATATTTCCGGAAATATATAATAAAATATTTCCGGTAATATATAATATAATATTTCCGGAAATATATAATAAAATATTTCCGGTAAGTTATAATATAATATTTCCGGAAATATATAATATAATATTTCCGGAAATATATAATATAATATTTCCGGAAATATATAATAAAATATTTCCGGTAATATATAATATAATATTTCCGGAAATATATAATATAATATTTCCGGAAATATATAATATAATATTTCCGGAAATATATAATATAATATTTCCGGAAATATATAATATAATATTTCCGGGAATATATAATATAATATTTCCGGTAATATATAATATAATATTTCCGGAAATATATAATAAAATATTTCCGGTAATATATAATATAATATTTCCGGAAATATATAATATAATATTTCCGGAAATATATAATATAATATTTCCGGAAATATATAATATAATATTTCCGGAAATATATAATATAATATTTCCGGAAATATATAATATAATATTTCCGGAAATATATAATATAATATTTCCGGAAATATATAATATAATATTTCCGGAAATATATAATATAATATTTCCGGAAATATATAATATAATATTTCCGGGAATATATAATATAATATTTCCGGTAATATATAATATAATATTTCCGGAAATATATAATAAAATATTTCCGGTAATATATAATATAATATTTCCGGAAATATATAATATAATATTTCCGGAAATATATAATATAATATTTCCGGAAATATATAATATATTATTTCCGGAAATATATAATATAATATTTCCGGAAATATATAATATAATATTTTCGGAAATATATAATATATTATTTCCGGAAATATATAATATAATATTTCCGGAAATATATAATATAATATTTCCGGAAATATATAATATAATATTTCCGACAATATATAATATATTATTTCCGGAAATATATAATATAATTTTTCCGGTAATATATAATATAATATTTCCGGAAATATATAATAAAATATTTCCGGAAAATTATTAATGTTTCAGTTTCTGAATTTCATTATATTAAGCATTTTCCAAAGAATGTTCTGGACTTATGAAACAATTAAAAATTATTATAATTAAGGCGTTCATATGGGAACAGCATTTATGTCATGTTTGGAGGAATTATCTAAAAGCAAATATAAATGGGAATATGTTTTTACCCTTCAAAATGATGATATACAGATAAAAACAAATGAGGAAATTATCCAAATATTAAAATGGTTGGGAGGGGCTAATGATGTTGAATATGGCTTAAATCAAAAAGAGCTTATTGAAGATCTTTACAATGAATTTAATTGGACTTTTAAAGATTTAAAATTATTCAGAGATGGTTGGAATTTAGAAAATAATATTTAAAATAATTAATCTCTAAAGTAAAATTAAATAATCAAGTTGATACAGAAGGAAAACCTTTATCTTTAAAAATATCCAAAGGATATGTACAGACTAGTTTGGCACGCAGTTTTGTTGAATTTATTGTACAAAAACTTGATTTAACTCAATTGCTTCATCAGTTAAATACCTGGTAGTTAACACTTAATTTAATTAAAATAATTAAACTAACAAATAAGCGGGGAATATGGTTGTGATGAACTATTTTTTCAAACATTATTGGCAACAGATGAGTTAAAAGCACCCAATGCTTTTACACATAAATGCATTGATAAAAATATTTCTACACCATTTGCTAATAGGTTAGTTATATTTTTAAAAAATTTTGTTTCTTCTCTGGAACTTATTTTTGAAATTAAAAAAATATTGACTTATTGCCGATAATAAATGAGATTAAATTAATATATGTAGTTCCTATTTAGATTTTCTATCTGGGTAAATGATTCGGACACAAAAAAATGCCCTAGCGGATATATTCGTAATGATCTTTGCATGTTTGGCCTGGAGGATTTAGTAGTTATTTAATATTATTTTTATGTACATGGAGCGGTATAATCTGCACTAATTTTTTATAACATTTAAAATGCTTTTTAAATAATATTTTTTAAAGTCAGTCAATTTGCGAGATAATAATTTCCTTTTTGCAAATAAGATTCAAGCTGATTTCGATTTTGGGGCCATTCTTTGTTGGCATGAGGAGATGAGAAGCAGAACTTTTGTAAATAAGGGATTGAAAAGATTGAATAGTACATTCTATCAAAATTGGCCTCAAGTAATTTTAAACTAATTAATTAATTTATTTTATAAATTTCAGACACGCTTTCACAAAGAAATGATAAAAACAGGCAAAGTGGATATTGATAAATTTAATTGTGATATTAATAAAAACTAAGAGTATTGTTTTCTTTTTTCTCTTAAAAATTTGTTTCGAAGCATTATCTGAAAAATTATTTTTTTGCAATATTTTATTTATAAATATTGTTGTATTATGTATTTTATAAATTTAACCATCAGTGTTTCTTTTATTATATTCCAACACAACTGCCAACACTTTTAAAAAAATAGTTGACGTGTTTTATAGTCTGCTTGTCGAATAACAAGGAAATAAAGTTAAAATGTAGATAACCACTTGTTAAATATTTTTATTTTATTTTTATTTAAAAAATAAAATAAATTAAATTTCAAATCAAATTCAATCCAAAATATTATCAAATGAAGACCTTCTTACACTGTTTTGTAAGTGTACTCTTAATTGCGGCATCTATTGTAGCGATTATTTACATGATTTTCCCTACTTCTCCAATACAAGTGGTTCCTAAAATTGTTAAAACTGAAATAAAGGAAGAAGATGGATCCGTGAAAAATTTTAAGGTCTTTCGGTTTTAGCTTTCACCTCTTTTAATTAAAACTCTTCTTAAGTCCAATAAGATTCAATCGAAAATTTAAATCCAAACACAAACAAATTCCAATTAATATTTATTTAATTAAAAGTAGGCAATACACTTTAAAGTAGCGAACTCTAAAGAAAAAATTAGTGGGAGACTTAGGGAATAAATAACTAAAAGAATAAATTAACAAATGAACAGTTTTGGGGAGAATTGATTTTCTTAAATAGGGGAGGGCACAAAACATAAAATGGGATTAAAATAATTAATTTAAATTAAAGCCAATTGAATCTGAGCATCACCACAAACCAAACAAAATTTTTAAAAGCGGAGATGTGGAAAAAATTAATGAAAAAATTTGGAATTCAATCAAAAATGAAATTCGACATCACAAAGTTGATAATGAATAAAATTTTTTGAAAGAAAAAATTTTTTAGGAACGTATAGACTGCAAAAGAATAATTGAGGGAGATGAGAGTTATATAAAACTCGAAGCAAAATCTAGATTAATATATAAAGATCCAAAACATTTATTAATGGATTGTAGATCAATTAAAGAAAGAAATTATTTTTTGGAAAAGCCTTTATCCACTGAAGAAGGGAAATATCCATTGGCTTATGCTAGAATTGTTTATAAAGTAATTTTTAAAAATTTTTTAAAAATCAATAATAAATTATTGAAAATTATTACTAAAATTGATAAAAGTTATTAAAGAATTATAGATTTCTGGAAGCAGAGTTTGCCACAAATTATCAACCCCAAAATTGGTATTGTTTTGCTGTTGACAAGAAAATTGGAAATAACCAGTTTTTTAAAAGAATAAAGGGATTGGCTAAATGTTTTCCTAATGTTATTGTTCCAACAAAAAGATTTCCTGTAGATAATAATGGTAGATTTTCAATTTACTCCGACTAATTATTTTGGCGCACAGCCTAGCTAGGAGTTTAGAATGTATTCAGTAAATTTTTTAATAAAGAACTTCTCCGGAATTTTCTTGCTAATATTTAATATATTAATAGTTAATAGTTGAAAATTGAAAGTCTTAGAATAGTTGAAAATTGATAGTTAATATTAATAGTAGAATCCGGAAAATTATTAATGTTTCCGAATAATATAATATTTCCGGAAAATTATTAATGTTTCCGGAATAATATAATATTTCCGGAAAATTATTAATGTTTCCGGAATAATATAATATTTCCGGAAAATTATTAATGTTTCCGGAATAATATAATATTTCCGGAAAATTATTAATGTTTCCGGAATAATATAATATTTCCGGAAAATTATTAATGTTTCCGGAATAATATAATATTTCCGGAAAATTATTAATGTTTCCGGAATAATATAATATTTCCGGAAAATTATTAATGTTTCCGGAATAATATAATATTTCCGGAAAATTATTAATGTTTCCGGAATAATATAATATTTCCGGAAAATTATTAATGTTTCCGGAATAATATAATATTTCCGGAAAATTATTAATGTTTCCGGAATAATATAATATTTCCGGAAAATTATTAATGTTTCCGGAATAATATAATATTTCCGGAAAATTATTAATGTTTCCGGAATAATATAATATTTCCGGAAAATTATTAATGTTTCCGGAATAATATAATATTTCCGGAAAATTATTAATGTTTCCGGAATAATATAATATTTCCGGAAAATTATTAATGTTTCCGGAATAATATAATATTTCCGGAAAATTAGAATGTTTCCGGAATAATACATATAATTCTATAAAATACACATACCTCCGGAATTTCATAATATTCTCGGATAAATTTATATGCTTCCGGACTAAATTATGTATTAAGGCGTTCATATGGGAAATGCATTTATGTCATGTTTGGAGGAATTATCTAAAAGCAAATATAAATGGGAATATGTTTTTACCCTTCAAAATGATGATATACAGATAAAAACAAATGAGGAAATTATCCGAATATTAAAATGGTTGGGTGGGGCTAACGATGTTGAATATGGTCTAGATAAAAAGGAGCTTATTCAAAAGCTTTATAAAAAATTTAATTGGACTTTTAAAGATTTAAAATTATATAGAGATGGTTGGAATTTAAAAAATAATGTTTAAAATAATTTATATTTTAAAGAAAAGCTAAATAATCAAGTTGATACAAAAGGAAAACCTTTATCTATAAAAATAACTAAAGGATATCTACAAGCTAGTTTGGCACGCGATTTTGTTGATTTTATTGTACAGAAACTTGATTTAACTCAATTGCTTCATCATTTAAATAACTGGTATTTAACACTTAGTTTAATTAAAATATATAGTAAAATTAAGCGGGGAATATGGTTGTGATGAATTTTTTTTTCAAACATTAATTGCAACAGATGAGTTAAGAGCACCCAATTCTTTTACACATAAATGCGTTGATAATCATATTTTTACACCATATGTTAATAGGTTAGTTATATGTATTTTAGACGATTTTATTTCTTCTCTGGAACTTATTTTAGAAATAAAAAAAATACAGTATGTACTCGATTAATTCCCCTGGGGAATTATTTTTTCTACCCATCAGTGGCTTGTGGAATTATTTAAGAAAGTGGAATTATTCGAGTTTTGAGATAGCAGGGGGATTTGTGGGAGTGGGATTGAGGTTTCAACTTATCCGTAGCAAGGGGAATTATTCGAGAGAGTGGAAGTAATAGAGTAATACGTTATGTTCTTTATCCCTACCGATAATAAATGAGATTAAAATTAATCTATGTAGTTCTTATTTAGATTTTCTATTTGGGATGATGAAAACCGGACATGCCATAGCGGATATATGCGTCATAATATTTGCATTTTTGGCCTGGAGGATATAGTAATTTAATAATATTTTTATGTACATGGAGCGGTATAATCTTCAATAATTTTTTATTAACATTTCGGACCCATTATAATTAATATCTTTATAAAGTCAGGCAATTTGCGAGATAATAATTTCCTTTTTGCAAATAAAATTCAAGCTGATTTTGATTTTGGGGCCGTTCTTTGTTGGCATGAGGAGATGAGAAGTAGAACTTTTTTAGATAGAGGATTGAAAAGATTGAATAGTAAATCCTATCAAAATTGGCCTCAGGCAACTATCAAAATAACTTAAATTAATTTATTTTATAAATTTAAGACTCGTTTTCACAAAGAAATGGTAAAAACAGGCAAAGTGGATATTGATAAATTTAATTGTGATATTATTGAAAGTTAAAATTATGGTTTCCGTGTTCACTAAAAATATTTATTTCGAGACATCTAAAAAAATTTTATTTGAATATAATTTGTTTCCATAAATATTTTTTGTATTATAAATATTAAATACACTGTTTCCTTTGTTTAATTCTAAAACAAACTTTTTTAAAAAAAGTTTATAGTCTTGTTTTATTAGCCGCTTGTCGAATCACAAGGAAATAAAGTTAACAGGGTCACCAGTTGTTAAAAATTTTTATTTGAATAATAAAATAAATAAAATTCAAAATTAAATTCAATCCAAAGTATTATTCATGAAGACTTTTTTACACTGTTTCTTAATTGCCTTCTTAATAGCGGCATCAATTGTAGCGATTATTTACATGATTTTCCCTACTTCTCCATTACAAGTGTAAGGCGGAAATAGAATTGTGAAATATTAAATAAAACTTTCCCAGCGACCCCGCCTATCCATAACCAATATAATCCTAGGAATAAGAGAAGGAAGCGATCAGTCATTCAATCAGTCAGCTTGTTAGTCAGTTAATAATAAAAGTGAATTAATATATTTATTGCCCGATCGGAGGAATTAGTCGTCGCCCGTTTAATCGCTCTTAAGGAGTGAGCGGTGAATATTGTCCGGCCGGACTACTAACAACAATAATCAATTAGTATTCCCTCATATTCTATTATCCTGGGCTCTACACTGGGTATGGATTCAGCAAACTTCTTCTGGTAGCACCGGATGGTTTGCCTGATCTTCGGAGAAGGCAGACCATCCCTGGCAGCAGTGGAGTGAGCCTCGGCACAACAACAACTCCTTCTTCCATCAAAGGACAAGAGCTGGGCCCGGCTCGAGTCCTGAGAAGGAAGAAGAGGGATATGGAATAGAGGATGAGACGACCGCAAAATGACTGACAAGTATTGAGGAGGCCTCGGCCGTATGCTAAGTTTAAACCTTTCTCTTTTATAAATAAAATTACGTTAAGTTCTTATTAGGGAGTAGCTAGAAGTTAGTAAGGAATCAGAGTTTTCCAGCCCGAAAAACTCGAAAACGAACCGAATCGAAAAACCCAATCGAAAAAAACTTATATTTAGAAACAAATTCAAAAAAAGGGGAAATATCAACGACTAAAAATTATTCACGTGAATTTCGTTTCACTTCACATTTTCCATTTTTGTACACATTTAACCTTCTCTTGGGAAAAATGTTTTATTTTTTTTTAACGGCTAAAAAAAAGAATAATTACTCATTGTATGTACATATATGCATAAGAAAGAGCTAAAAAAAAATTTTTTTTTTC